CCCATTGATGGCATTTGCCTCAACTTGGATTTCTGACTCTGCAGAACACAATCACTGGTTAGGGTAAACAGGCTCATTCAGAGGGTATCCTGCTGAAGCAAGGCCTCTTCAAACATGTCTTGGGTGATCAGCTGGAGGGAGTGCTTAGAGGTATCATAAGCGGGCAAAGCAGGGCAGATATGATCCAGGGCAGAGCGAGGGAAGGACAGAGCATTTTGGAACAGGTTGTACTAGACCTGGGGCTTAGCAGAAGCAGTTTGCTATATTCCAGGCTTGTGGGAAGCTACAGCCTGCATCGTGGGGGACAATCGGAGCGTTCTCCTTCCTCACCAACATTCCTTTGTTTATTGATACACATTCAGGGCTGGCCCTACTACCAGAAAGAGTAAGGCAGCCAGGACAGGCTGCAAAGTATGGCGTGTGATGAAAGGGGAGCAAACTGTTCTTTATTTACTTAGTGGTAAATGTAAAAAAAAAAAAAAATTCTGCCAAGGCCAGGGTGATGTGTGGATGGGATTTTCTGCCTCATGTATGCAAATCTGACCAGCTTTCAAACCTATACACCATGATGTGTAGAACAGCGACTTCCCAAAAGCAGCCCAGGCAAAAGAAAGGCAGATTGCCAACAGGCCTCCCCCCCCCTGCCATCCTTTTATCTCTCCTTGTCACAGTGCTGCTTTTTTCTTCACTTTATTCGGATGCCAGGAAATGTTTTGCCTGCTTAATGTCTGCATAGCAGGCAAATGTTCAAAGGCGCAGTAGAAACACCAGTAAACAGTTGGCAACCCAGCTTTATGTGAGGACATTGCTGGAGTAAAAAAAAAAGGAGAGAAAATATCCAAACTGAAAGGAAAGCCACAGAGATACTGTATACACCATCCCTATGACCACTAAAGGAGACTTCAAAATCGGAGAGTCTGTAGTAACAAGATTATAGTAGGGAAGCTAGGCTGTGAAGGTCATCAGACTGTCCTGGAGTACAAAAAGAGCCCAGAGCCAGCTAGAAGGGTTTGCAGTCATTGGGTAGGAATTGGAAAGAGCCAGGAGCATGAAAGCAGGAGGAAAAGGCCACCCACTCCCTTGGGCAGAATCTGCCAAGGAGCAACGAGAAGTAGGCCTGGATTTCATCTTGGACCTGTCTAGAAGCTGCTAACCAGACATGCTTTATTTAAGGAAGTGGAACACTACAGATACTTCCTGGCTCTCTTGAGGAACAGAAACTCCCTGTCCCCAGAGGTTCCCCTCCTGTAACTAGCAGAAAGCACAACTGAAGTCCTAAGTGCAGGTGTCTTCAGGTGTGGCCAGGTAGAATGGGTTAGAGAGATTCCCTAGGCATTCTTTAAGCTCTGTTCTTCAACGGTTGACTGCCAGGGAGATCTATCTTGGTCTCACTTTGGAGCCAAATTTGTGGGGAGGGTATAGAGTTGGCCTGAGACTTCTTGTTGCCTGGGAAGTTGTCACCCTTCCCAATAGCATTGGTAGCTGAAATCTCATTCTGACAGTGACAAGGGGACAGCACTCACCACCACACCCGAGGGCAACAAGCCAGTTGAGTTTGTCCAGGACATACTACGGTAAATGCCTGTTGCCTGGGAAGTTGTCACCCTTCCCAACAGCATGTACAAACCCCAGCAAGATTGGCAGCTGAAATATCATTCTGACAGTGACAAGGCGACAGCACTCACCACCATACCCGAGGCCAACAAGCCAGCTGAGTTTGTCCAGGACATACTACAGTAAATGCTGCACATGCATGCCAGCCTTCCAGGATCTCAATGCTGCTCTGCAGCATCTCCAATCTAAGGCAACTGCTTCACCCTGTCTAATGTCAGGGCCAGACTTGGGTGGGCAGCACTTGTAGAAACTGGGCTATGCTGATCATTGGCTTAGCAAATCTCAGCATGAGGCTGGAAGAAGTTGGCTTTTTTTTCAGGGATTTGCAAGGAGGTTGTTGCATTTAGTCCTGTAGCAGCAAAAACAACAGCAAACACAGTGAAAGAAGGCTTTTTTGATGTTTAAGCTTTTCTGGTGCTTGTGCTCCCTGGGGGTGCAGAGCAAAGATGGGTGCGGCAAGACCTGTGACACGATTTGCCATGCAGGTTGAGGGCGCAGAGGGAGGGAGGGTTCTGCCCGCAAGTCCACGGCCCAGGTTGCTGGAGCAACAAAGATTCCAACATCGATGGGCTAATGCCAACTAAAAAAAGGCATGAAAAGCATCAGGATCGCAGAAGAGAAAACAGGGGGAGATCTGATCTTAAGGCCTCATAGCCTGCAGAGAAAGAAGGCTCCACAGACAACGAGATGAGGCACATCAGATGAACTGAGGGGAGTAGGTTTTCAGCCACAGTGAAGAGGTGACATCAGGAAAGGGCAGCTTGCATGATTATAGCCTTGGGGAGGACACAAGTGTGTTTGGGGAAAACCAAAAGCTAGGAACCATCTCAGTAGAGAGAAACCCAAAGAGATGCCCTAAAAGCAACTGAGGAACGTTTCCTACCATCGTGGTTGCGGTCCAGGCTGTGAAACATCAACAGCAGTTTGCGTTCGCGTTCCTGGAGATAGCGGGCAAATTCCTCAAAATTAAGCTCCCCGTCGCGGTCTGTATCCCCTGCACGTAGGATATCCTGCAGGCAGTGGAAGCAAAGTGGGTTTTAGAAGGCAATTGCAAAACTGCAGTTTATGGGGCACAATTTTTGAGCTGTTGCACAGACACTGCTTTAGGAAGAGAGAGCCCTCTATCTAGGTTACCATTTCCTTCACAAGCCACCCCATTGCTTATAAAAGATATGCTCCCCCTTTTCCGCTCAGGGAGAACGGGGTGAGTGTAGTTGAGGACTAATCTATTGGGAAGGGAGATTTGGATTTGCGAGTGCATGCCTGCATTCCATACCAAGACTCTGAACTCTTCTCTGGAGATCCAAAGTTACACACTCCAAAGAACATGGCCATGAATTAGGGTGTCTCCGTAACTGGTTATGAAAACACTGATGATACGCAGCATTTACGTGGCACTTCAGAGCAAGGATGTAGAAACTTTGGTCCTCTCCAAGCTCTGAATTACAACTCCCATGATCCCCTGCCATTGAACCTGCTGTCTGGGGCTGGTGCGAATTGGTCGAAAACATCTGGCGGGACAGAGTTTTACCAGTTTCTTGCCCGACAGCATTCAGAATTTTGTGTGTGTCACACCTTGATATCATCAGCAACAAATCTACACAGTAGATCAGAACTTTACTATTATCCCCATAATCCAGATGGGAAGGTGAGTCGGAGAAAGAGAACAGTTTGCCCAGTTTCACCAAGTGAGTTCATGGTAAGGGCAAGATTCAGACCAAGGACTTTCTGGCTCATGGCTCTGTCTTACACCCTATGATGCAATAGCTTTTGGGCAATGGATACAGGAGAGTATTAAGGAAAAGCTGTTCACAAAAATGTCAAGGAAACACTGGGGCCAAAGGCCTTCTTTCTAACATGCTAAGTTTATAAGTGCAAAGAACTGCTTTTTTTTTTTTTTACACAGAGGAGCATTCTGTGGTACAAGGCCCTGTGAATCCCTGAGAACACCTCCAGGCAGATGTGCACGTAATCCACGACACCCTAGACACAATCTGAAGTGTCTAGGCTTACTTCTGCCTTGGTGTCCACAGAGGAATGATCACAGCTTTGCCTGGGGTTAAGAGATGATGCTGTTATTAGAGTGTCCACGGCTGCTTTTCTCCACTGGAAGGAACAGGTCAAAGAGCCTTTCCCTGTCTTGTCAGGAGAGAGGAGCCTGATGTCTAAGGCTGGAGGAGAGAGGGTGGTATCCTTGGGTTCAAGGATCCTGCTGAGGGCTAGATGGTAAATCCTACGGGAGCCAAATTTAGCTGCAGCACCACTCATTTACTCCCAATCTAGGCAGCTTAGGCAAGTGTCATGTTCACTTGTGGCATGCCTGTAAGAGTACAGTACTGCTTTCAGGACAGTGCAAAGAAACCTGAGCCCTAAGCGATTTTGCTGGGTGAGACAACAAACCAATACAAAAGAAAAGAAAAAACAAAACCCCACAGACTGCCCCTTTTCTTCTCCCCATCTTGCCTCACAGAGGGGCCACCCTTCTCCTTGTCCTTATATAGCAAGATTTCTATTTTTATTTCATTTTGTTCCAAACAAAGCTTAGGTAACATGCTCCCTTCTATTGTTTTAGGCAGTTCAGGATGCCACCAGATGTTCCGAATTCCACTGGAGGACAATTCAAACACATCTCAGTGGCTATGAACATATTCGGAGAGGGGGAAATGGGTTTACGGAACCTGCCTCCTCACTGCTTAACACAATATATTACTGAAATAAGACTTAAGATGGAGACTGAAAATGTTGCGAAATATTCTGGACAATGTGGGCCAATGAAAGACTTCACCTACTTTGTGGCTCTCAAAAGAACACCAGGGGAAAAGGCAATATTACATAAACTGCTGTTTATGAAACCAAAACAGGCAGGCAGCTCTTGTGCAAAAGAGTTTATTATGCAATTAATACAGGTCTCCGGACGGATATGTGAGGAAAGACAGGTCAGTCGTGGTGTTTAAGACTGCCAGGAACACTTAGACACTGGCTTTATACAAGCTGAATCAAAACAATTAAGAGTAAATTGCTAATTAGAATGTATAAACAGAGAGCCATCAAGGACCATATCTTTACCACCAAATGTCAACTCATGTAAATCTCTCTCTTGCCCTCTCTTGTTCTCTCCAGCCAATACCTCTTTATTGGAACTGTGGGGTTTTTTTGCCTGGATATTGGGATATATTTTCATCTGCCACCAGCTTCTTCTTTGATCCTTTTCCCCAGTAATAACTGAGGGGATATGGATGCTAGAGCTTTCAGCTCCTCCTGAGCATCCTGTCTACTTGGGAGTTTTATGCTGCTTTCTTTATATCTTTGCCTCCGCCTCCCACCAACTGCCACTATCTGTCTCTTCACCTCTTTAATATTTCATGCCTCAGCCTTGTCTGACGACTGTCCTCACACCCGCCCACCCCAAAATTAAGTAGTTATGCAAATTAACAATCTTTGGAGTGCAGTCAGACAGCACAAAGCCAGCCTCCGAGGGTGGCAAACTTGGGCATTTGCCAGAGCCCTCAACAACAGTGATGGGAGTCTTTCCCCACAATCATAATCTCATCCCCATTTTGCTCAATGAACCTCTGATAGACAAGAACAATTAGCAAGAGGCATCAGTTATATATACCCCCCTTTTTAGATTAACCTCTGAGGTTAAGCTCTCTTCTAGATTCGAAAGGTGACGTTGTGCAGGCTATGTGGCAACACTGGGTTCTCCCGAAATTTTCATTTCAGTTCCCAGAAGTTCCAGCCAGCATGGGCCATGGTGAAGGACCATGTACAAACACATCTGAAGGGCTAAAGTCTTCCCAGCCCTCATGTGCACATTCTTACTAAGCAACGTAGAAAGTATGGTTGAACATACAGGACAGTAGCAAGGGCATCACTTAATCCATAACACTACTGCCTTAGCTGGAGAATCTTTGAACCTCATTCAGAGGCTGTGATTTCTATGTTTCATAAGGATGGATCGCCATGAGAAAGCCTAACTTGGTCGATATGATCCAGGGATCACCAGTTCCAAAACAGAAAGGTGAAGAATGCAGTCTGAGAATCTGGCTCTAAAGTTCCATGGCTAACCTCAAGTTGTGTTTCTGCTTGATTCCCGTATGTGAATCACAAATTGAAACGAAGGGTCTTTATTTCAAAGTTTTCTTCCTTTAAGAGTGTTATCACACACTTCTGATCTGACCACATGACCAACTAGGACAGGAAAAGGAGCCAGACATACTTCAAGAATGTAAACACATAAGTATGAAAATAGCCCAGCGCCACATGATTTGAAACAAATTCCTTAAAACATTGGGGACTGAACAATTTCCAAGCTAGGTATCCAGATTCCATGCATTCTTCCATTCCAGTTCCTGAACATGCTCTCATTTGTACAGCATCCATCACATCATGTGCATTGTTACAATTTCTGATACATTCAGTGATCTGGATTAGCACATTGTGAATGAATGCAGGAAGTAATTTCCTGCGTTCTGGTGCCAAATAGGGTCAAACAACAATGACAAATTTCTGGAAATTCTTCCTGCATTTAATTTTCCATTTCTAAAAATTTCACTGTCTCATAAAATACAGTTGTAACAATGCATGGGTCCTTGCCTACCTGCACTTTGTTCAGTAAAAATATATATGTATTTAATCAGATCAGCCTCTGGTTAAGGGTACTAGAAGATTTCAAATTCCACATTTTTCTGAAAAATCCTGTTGCTGAACACAATTGATGATGGACCCATCTAAAACCTGTCTGTGTAAGTATAACAGACATATTTTGACAAAACGGAGTGACTAGACAGCTATTTGCCCCACTCTTTGTGCAAAGTTCCTTGCTGCTGTTTTTTTTATAGTTATTGTGTCAACTACAAAACTCTAGAGCTAATCACAAGTAAATCCGATCTTTCGGCACGAGCACGTGGTACGGTTTATTCAGCCAGCAAGGCTTGTTTTTGTTTTTGTCGTCCTTTTATTTAGTCTTGCTTTTGGATTGTGTGATTTTCTACATCAGTCCTTTGGGGCAGCTGCTGGACATGTCCAGGTGACATCCCTGAGGACATGCAAAGTGGGGAGTGAATGTTACGTTCTCCTTTTGCTCACCTCCCACTCACACTGGTAAGGACAAAAACTGCAATACAACTTGTAAATGTATTTTTAAAAATATTTTTTGTCCCAGCATGGTATAGTGCTTACCATGTCTTTTCAGCTCAGCACTATTTCACTTGCTAAACATTACCCCAAATAAAAGGGTGTGTGTGTGAAGGACAGCAGAGGGGGTGGGTAGAGAAGGAGGAAGGTGAAGAGGAACTGTGTGATGTGTGTACAGTTGAAATATGCTTTCCTGCGATAATTAAACATTTCTGTGTGAACAGCAACTATGGTTTTAATTCCTGGGTGCTGTATACAGAAGTTTGCTTGAACCTGGGATAAAACTGTATGTAGCCTTGCCCTAACCCACAGTCTTAGCAAGCTGCTGTACATCTGGGCAGGCAAGCTTCTAATCTTCAATTGTTGTTACACTACAGTGCCCAGACTCCTAGGCTACTGTCCATGCTCCCCGAGTGTTATGGAATTTGTAGTGAAAAACACCTAGACTCTAGAACAGGGGTTTCAAACATGCGGCCCAGGGGCCATTTGCGGCCCCCCAGATGATAGTTTGTGGCCCTCGCCTTTCCTGCCCCCCCCAAAGCGCCCACACATCCTCTGCTGTCAAGAGTAAAAAAAAAAGCCTTGCCTCGCTCGCCGGCTCTCTCCCAAGACAGCACCTCTTGCACCCTCCATCCAGAACTGCATCCTGCCAGCCAGCCCACCTGTCTGTCAGCTAAGGAAACTCCTGGGCGGCTTTCTCGGGCTCTTGCTCCGCTTGGCGGAAAATCTGATGCGGCCCAGCCTCACCCAGACTCTGCCTCTTGCGGCCCCCAGGTAAATTGAGTTTAAAACCCCTGCTCTAGAAGGTACCAGGTTGCCTAACCCTGACTTACATATTGACTGAAATTCAGCTGTAAGTTACAATGAGAGTAGG